TGGTTCCCTGGGAGTGGGGCAGGAGCCTGTGTGAAACAGCTAACAGTGGCCAATAAGCCTGTGAAAATAGTTATCCCATTACCTCTCTTTTGAAATAGACAAAACCTGAAATTTCTGATATAAAATCTTAAGCCGAACCCCATCTCTAAGGATAGACAGACTTGCAAAGACCTTTAATACCTTCTTCACATATTATTACCAAGTAGTGAAGAGCAAGGCATGAGTCAGTTTTCTTCTCTTAGGGTACGACTACACTATAGTGTTAATTTGAGTTAACTTAATTGGAAATAGCTACATACAAAACCTATTTCGAAATAAATAGCGCGTCCACGCTGAGTGGAACCTGAACCGAAGTTAAGGCTGGCCAGAACCAGTGCCGGCAGGGCATCAGGTTAGGACTTAGTGTGTGGGGCTACGTGCTTAAAGACCCTACCCCCACCCTGGACAGATAGTTCTCAGGGTTCCCCGCTTTCTTGTGTACCTCGATGAGGGACAGCAAAGCAGTCCTATCTTGGAGTGCCCTGAGTGCCTGCACTCAGGACACCACAGCACTCGGCCACATGGACCCAGAGTCTAATTTGCATCCCTTTTACGGAAAAGGGATGCAGTCTAGACACAGCCATAGTGTGTGAAAAAAAATGAATCTTTATCTTTATTCAAGATGTACATGCAGCCAATGAAATTGAAAATACTTGTTTTCTAAAATAATCAGCCTGGAATTTTCTGAAGATACAGATTTAGCATTCTGTGTGAGTTAAAAGAACACTGGAACTGTATATACTATATATCATAGTTGTATTTGCAGACCCAGCACATTGTCCTTTCACAATCTTTTCTAAGGAGCTTTAGGGAAAATATACATTGATATTAATGATAGTGCCAATATCCCCCAGTTAGGGATCAGGAAATCATTGTGCTAGGTGTATAGAAGGAGAACAAAAGAAAGACATTCTGAATCAGAGACAGGGTTCCCGATAAGCTGAATGCGTGTGCGGCAACTTAGGAGGGATTCTAATGTCTCCCAGCTGATTAGCAGAGCATCCACAGCTGGATTTGTATTTCTAGTGGTGGTGCACACTCACACGTGCCTCAGTGCACATAAAATTTATTCCACACATGACTAGAAAAGATTAGAGGGAACATTGCCCAGAGACCTTAAAGCAGTGTTTCTTAAATTGTCATTTGTGGTCCACCGGTGTGCCGCAAGGCAGCTGGAGTTGTGCCACAGAAAACAGAATTCAAAATGGCTGCCCTTGGACCAGGAAGGTGTCCGCCTTCTCCACACCTTGTCAGGTTCCTGGGAGCTGGAAGACTGCTCCTGGGGAGCGGTGGATGGCTGGCTGCCAGTGGCTTGCTGGCTCATGTTTTGGGGCCACTGGGTCAGGGTCAGGGGCCCTGGTGGCCACTGCTGGCTCTGGGCTGGCAGGCTTGGAGCGGGCACAGGCACTGTGGCCAGGGTCTACCCCTTTAATGGCTCTGGGGCTGGGGGAGAAGAGAGTAAGTTTTCCTGGTTGTTCCCCGAGTGGCCACCAGGGCTCCCTGGGAAGGGCTGGTGGCCCCCTATTTCGAATTAAGCGTCTGCACAGCACTTAACTTGAAATAGCTATTTTGAATTTGGTGTTACTCCTTGTAGAATGAGGTTTACCAAATTCGAATTAAATGCTCTGCTATTTCTAATTAATTTTGAAATAGTGATTTGCATGTATAGACGCTATTAAAGTTAATTAGAAATAACGGCTGTTATTTTGAACTAACTTTGCAGTGTAGACATACCCTTATGCATTTGGTTTTGCTCACCTCTGCTTCTTTTTTTCTCTAATAGACTATGTTTCAGTTAAGTTGACTGCTAAAATGAATTGCTTCTAGGAGTAAAACAGGAATGCAAAACTGTGTATCCAGATGAACCAAAATATTCTGAATTTCAAGCCCTACATAGTGAGAGTCTAATAGAAAGTCTGAATGTATGGTCTGCAGGGGAATAAAATTGTGTCATAAATCATGCCATGTACCGTAATTACAAGAAATATTTAAAATTCTTTCTTGAGCATGCCAATTAACTGGAATTTTTCTCATCACAAAGTCCTTCACTGAAAGCTATAGGTCCCAACTTTGGTTAACAACTCAGGCATTGAAATTAAGATTTATTGAATTGAATTCCTCATTAAAATAACGTTGGTTGAGATAATTGTAAAAACTAAGACAATTAAATACTAGAATTTTGTCTTTTGAATTACCAAACAGGCTAATCCATGACAGAGAGCTGACTCTTTATGATGGCACCAGATTATTAAGAGAAGATAGGTATCAAACTTTAAAAGAAGAACTGCAGCTGTCAGACAAGGAACTACAACAGAGGTAATTTGTTAGATACTAACCTAGTATACAAAAAAGTGTATATGTGATTCAGGTTGTACAAAATCTTCTATTTTATTGCTTGGTATTACTAAAGTTTAAATCTTAAAACAGAAATTTACAGTAGAAACATTAAACTATCCTAGCTGAGAGAGATTAAAGAAACATTATAAATACATACAATTTTAGACCTATAGGCTGTGTGTACACAGCAGCATGGAAGCTATCCCATGCTTGCCAGCTCCAGCTTCCATTATTACTCAGGCTGCATTATTTCTGTGCAGACTTTCAGGCTCAGGTTGCACTCTTATACTTTGGGACCCTGCGGGGCAGGAAGACCCCAGAGCTTAGGTTCCAACACAAGCCAGAAGCCTACACAGCAAGGAAACAACTGCTTTCTAAGCACATGTCTTGCTTTCTGAGTACTATGAGTTCAAGTTGCCTAGCACAGGCCAGCTGTGGGCTGTATTTGTTGTTGGTGGTGGGTTTTTTTGTTTTGTTTTGTTTTCCTGTATAGACATATCCATAAATTCACTGCATTATTTTGAGGCATTTTATTAAGAAATATTCAGACTTTAACAAAAAAAATTGAATACAGTAATTCCTCATTTAACACTATAGATGTGTTTCTGAAAATGTTCGTGCTAAGTGAAAACGTTCTATGCGGGGTCAATTGTCCCATTAAAAATAATGGAAAAGGTGGAGGTTGCGTTTCAGGTGGTAATGGCAAAGTCAGTTTTTTGTTGGTGCTGGGTCGTCAACATCAACATTAGATATCTAGCAACACAAGATAACTAGCAACACAAGTCACTGCTGTTTGTTAAACACAAAGATAAACACATGAGTGAGCGGAGGAGCGCTGTGACCCCATGTATTCATCTGCTCATGCGTATTACCACTGTTTTCACCAGCTTATAGTGCCGCGCGAAGTAGTCTGCCACTTGATTATTTCCGTGCTGTTTCGGGGCGGTTGTATTATTTGAAAAATGTTCCCTAAACAAAAATCATGCTATTGCAAAAACGTGTTAAGCAGGCACGTGTTAAACAAGTAATTACTGTACTATAATTATTTGTTTCAAAAGATTAGCTGAAAACACTGGTATGTAATTTAGAATTAACACAAGAGCAGAAAATCCTAAGTATGGGTTGGGGCTTTTCATGCTTATTCTTCTTTGCTGTTTCACTTCCAGTTGTCTGCTGGAAATATTCTGTGTTGAAATATTTCAAGTCATTTGATTGCCAGACACTCCTTGTACTAACTGAAATCTGTTAACTGGATTCTGTTTTATGTTACCAAAACAAATGTAATCTAATATCTGTATCTATTACCTTCTTTCAAAAATTCTGAAGAACTGAAACTGTTGTAATTCTTAAATGACACTATAGTTTAAATAATATAGGTTTTATACTTATTTTATTGTGATGAATAACAGTACTTGTTTTATAGCAACTAAGAGCAATAGCTGATTTTTACAGTATACAAGGCATTATTGTTTGCCTGTGATTAGGGCAGTCTTCTATGTGGTAGCAAAAATATAGGATCACTGGTTAGCAGTTCTCTCAAACCTTATATCAATTGACCTAACAGGTTTTTTTTTTTTTTATTAAAGATTCATTAAGTTTTAACATTCATACAATACAGGGTCTGCTTGGGCAGCCACGGAAAGTAGCATCAACTCGCCTTTCCAAGTGCAGAAGAGGTGTTTTATTTCACTTTGTTTACTACCAAGAGTCAAATTATTACTGAGGTAAAAATTGTAAGGAAACAGAGAAGAACAGAAGATATTTTGTATTTTACTTCAGGATCCAAATATTATATTATACAAAAGACCCATGCAATTGTACCCATTAAACAGTTGACATACAACCCCTCGGCTGCATCTAGACTGGCAAGTTTTTCCACAAAAGCAGCTGCTTTTGCGGAAAAACTTGCCAGTCTAGATGCAGCCGAGGGGTTGTATGTCAACTGTTTAATGGGTACAATTGCATGGGTCTTTTGTATAATATAATATTTGGATCCTGAAGTAAAATACAAAATATCTTCTGTTCTTCTCTGTTTCCTTACAATTTTTACCTCAGTAATAATTTGACTCTTGGTAGTAAACAAAGTGAAATAAAACACCTCTTCTGCACTTGGAAAGGCGAGTTGATGCTACTTTCCGTGGCTGCCCAAGCAGACCCTGTATTGTATGAATGTTAAAACTTAATGAATCTTTAATAAAAAAAAAACCTGTTAGGTCAATTGATATAAGGTTTGAGAGAACTGCTAACCAGTGATCTAAAACTTCTGCAAAAAATTGAGATTGGATGATATGGGGCAAATTCCTTAGGTTTTCCCTTTTTAAGAAAGAGAAGAATGGAGGCATTTTTAGAGGAATTGTAGAAGGGATCCTCTTCTAAAGAAGCAAGAAACATTTGAATAAATCCTTCAAGAGATCTTTCCATCTGTAAAAGGATGAATAGTAAAGTAAACATGATGGGAAAGATTCTATCTGCTTTCTTTAATTACCTTAACTAACCATTAATATTTTTTTGAAATCTGAGCATCTGTTCAGTAGTAAGAACTCAGATACTCACCCAGAGTAAACCTGTGATATTTAAAATACTGTGTAAACCAACACTTAATGAAAATGTTCAATGTTGATAAGGTCATTCCTTCTGTTATAATAAAAACTGCTTTATTTTATTTATTTTCAGAGGGGAAGGTTGAGGAGAAGGAAGAATTACACAGGCTATGTTGTAATCCAGAGAAATTACATGTGTTTTTAAGAGCTGAGCATTTTTAATTTAAAGGGGTAAAATTTGAGGGATTGAGTGGGGTGGTAGCATATTATTTGTTCAGATTACAAAATTCAAATGACATAATATCACAGTAGCTTCTGGCTTTACAGGCTAAAAATCATTGTTTTATTCTTGAATTATATCTGAGGCAGCATAGGGGAGGGGGAACAGGAGCCATTGCTGGGGGGAGCCTGCTTAAAAACTGGTTCCCCCCCAGCACCATCGCCGTGGTGCAGGAGGAGATCTAGGAGAGGCAGTGGCGCTTAGCTCTTACTAAATTGCTGTATTTAAAGGCAGAGGCACAGCTAGGGATCGGCATAAGCTATGACTGAATCAGTGGTCCGGCTCTGCCTTTTAAATGTGGTAAGAGCCGCTTAGACCGATCCTGGCTGCTCAAGGACCTACCCCAGTGCAGCTCTGCTCCTTAAATGTAATAGGAGATGGGCTGCCTGCATGCCTAGCTCCTACTACATTTAAATTGCAAAGCCGTAGTGGCTCCAGCTCCTACTACATTTAAATTGCAAAGCCATAGTGGCTCCTTATTGACTAATTGTGCACTCAGTACAAATTGGATCGAGTACACGATTAGTCATTTACTCGCTAGTTAACATCCTTACTAAGAGCTAATAAAATAATTTCTGACTTAAAAGATCTTACATGTGCTATAAGTTACACTTTTGTTTTATGTTCCACCATGCTACTATTTTTATAATTTGCCCTAATTTTTTAAAGCAAGATTTACATACCACACAGGTAGGAGGGATAGCTCTGGCAGCAGACCTGAAAAGAACTCAATCAACTGGTTTGTGGTTGTGGGGATGGAGGATATTCATTGGCCAGTTGAAGGTCTTTGATCAATGAGCTAGCTAGCAGCCTGCATTGACAATTGTTTCCATAGGCCTTCTCTTTAGCCAGTTGTGCTGTGTTATTGCTAAATAATCCAGGTAAAATGGCGTTCAGTCACATGGAGAAATTGTATTTTGTAGATTAAGGATAATGGGGAAAGAAATCTATGCTGGCATAGAGGAAAAGGAAGTTAAACTTAGAAAAGGCTCTTTATGTATAGATAAATTGTTGCTGCACAGCTTTAGCTATTGATAGAAAAGTGTAATTCACTTTGTTGAACTAGTTCTGAGTGAAGGAATGCAGCCATTTAAAATTGATTCAGAATTTATATTCATGGCTTCTATGTAAAATTTTCCTACATAATCATTTGCATGCTATACTGAGGTACCTATTGTGAAGGAGGCATCCCATAACTATAAATTCAGTTGGAAGAAATAGGGAAAAGCCCTAATTTCTCTATGAAACAGTATTTTAACCTGTTTGGATTTTTTTGTTTTATATTTTAGACTTTTCCATGTATCAAGCATTTAGTATAGGAAACAGAAAGGCAGCTATTAAGAGAAAAATATAGAGATGTTTATATAATCGGATTTGCTTCAAAAGCTGAAAGGAGCCGATTATAATGCATGGGTGGGTATTCTTAACACCCTAAGGCAGTGAATTACTGTCCATGTGACTAGGCTAAAAGAGAGCACATACAGCAGAAGAGACAAACACAAGGAATGTGACAGAATGTGAATTTTGTAGTAAATAGAAACTCCAGTATTGTTAAATTTTCACTGAATATATTCACCATCCGTTAGTTTTGAGTTATTTTCACTTTATTTTTGTTTGTTCATTCAGTTTTAGTGTATGTAAACATACACTAAAACAGTGAGTTAATTTAAAAAAAACCTCACTAATCCAAGCAGACATTTAATACATTGCAGAAAATAAAAAGGGAACAGATGTTTGATAATTTTTTATTCTGGCATGGATAAGTGATGGAATATTAGAAAAGATGCATAGTTTTTCCCTTTAATTAAATATATTTTTCTTCTATATTAAGATCCTTTAAATTATAGTTCTTGTTAAATGTGTGTTGTCAGTACCTGAACTACATAATTATTTCGTCCTAACCGCCTTATAATCGGGTGTGATAATACTCTTTTGTAAAAAGTCATCACTCATACATTTGTTCTCATTTTGTTTGCAGTAATAAATGACTGTGAAACTGCAAACGAGGAAAAGACAAAATGAAAAGTTTGTGAAGTGGCAAGGGAATGTTATCTGTGTGCCAAATAAAAGAAACCATTCTTTAGCATTGTACTGATGGTACTGCATTCTCTGTTCAGCCTTCAGTGGAATTATTTTCTGTAAGATTCTTCTTACCCCTTGATGGAGAAAAATAGACTTTAAGTGCCTGCTAACCCATAGGGTCTCATGATCTCCCCTAGTTATCTGGCCTACAGGTTGAACAGGCAAGAGGAAAGGATGATACTCAGCAGTAATGAAGTATTGCCAATCCCTCTAGCAAGTTATAGGTCTTAGTGTGTTAGGCTTTAGTGTTATTCACATGCCTTCTGTCTGTAGAGTGATTAGATATGGCATGTACTTAGTAAACATAGCTTTACAAAGCAACAGTGGTTATGATGGTTTAGAGCTTGATCCTATAGGGTACTGAACAACCTCATCCCCAGTTGACTTTGATGGAGATGGAGGATTCTCTCCAGTTTGCAGGATTAAGACCCTTTTAAAACAGTAATTAAATATTTGGCTTTACATTTTCAAGAGATTGTACCAACATTAATCCAAACAACACCCTTGTGAAGCAGATGAATGTTGTTCCCGTTTGCAAACTGGGAAACTGAAACAGATGTTGTGACTTGCACAAGGCCACAAAGCAAAGGGTGAAGAGGAGAATATACAAATAAAGTGTTCAGATTAGTTAATGAGAATGAAGAGAAATGCATTTATAAATAGCTTTGCAAAGTGCAGACGTTTTAATGTTAGAAAGCTTTCTTAAATGAACAGCTGTTTTATTAAAAATCCCTTCACCAAAGACATTTTCCATTTGTAAGTTCTTAAATATGCAGTTTAAAAATTAAAAAGATTTTTTTGAATACTGTCACTGATAGCTAATTCAGAAATAATGGATTTAGTCCTCAGATATGTACTCTATTTCTGAGAAGAACTGGGGGAAATGGGTGTGCTGTTAGTGTCTCCCCATGCCTGATCTTTGCCTCATCTGCAGGCTTGTTTCTTAGAACAACTCAAAACTGTGCCCCGATGGCCATACCCATAAGGGGGACTACCCTAATGCACTGTGCTCTGGATGTGTTACCTACCTCTTCCGCTCCCTGCCACGTGCCAGAATGCCCCCAGTTGCATTAGAGGAATTCTCAGCTAAGGAAATTTGACTGCATTTTGGATCCTTTATGACACAGCACCATTACAAAAGGGCCAGAGCCAGGATTGAGCTCATTGTATTTTTTTTTCAATTACTAACCAAAAAAGAAATTAATCAGAAATTAAACATGGCTTATCCTATCTTCAAAACAGTTTCTTTATAACTGTTGGTAATTGTTCCATGACCTTTTCTGTGTGTAGAGCCAATGCCATATCCATTAGATCCTATTTCAAATGATGCTTTCAGACATTTCCTTCTATTTTTATCAATCAGGGTACAGCTTTTAGGCTTCTGACTTGAAGCTGAGAATAACTGATACCACCCACTTTGTTTGCTTTGATTTGGGAGTCTGAGGCAGCAGAGCATATATGGTGAACAGTTTTCCTAAGGTGTTCCCCGCATATGCTGTGCTGTATCTGAATCTTTGTTACATCTACCAGACCTATCATCTAAGCTGCACATTGTATAGCTTAAATTGAAGGGTCAAATTCAATCTTTCTTCAGTGACCATCTTTGCACCTCATTTTCCCTAGAGAGTAACCAGAGATAGAATTTGCCCCTTCATTGTAATTTCAGACAGAATTACATTCAAAATAGCACATGATAATAAGCAGGAGAAATACAAATGGTCATATTACAATTTTCTCATTTTTTGAATACTAAATTATTTGTCTGGAATTTTAATTGAGATATTGAGTAAATATTGCATAATGTATTGCAGAATCCAACTACTTACATCTGAGTTACTATTATTTATTTGTATAAACAGTTGCATTTTAAGATCCAAGTAAAATCAGAGTCACTTTGTGCTAGGCATGGTATAAAAACACATTAAAAGAGAATCCTCACCCTGAAGATCTTAAAATCTAAGGGTATGTCTAGACTACATACCTCTGCCGACAGGATCGGTCGACTGATCCTGTAAACCTTGTTTCACGAGTCATAAGGGATTGGTCGACAACAGCTTTCCCTATCGACCAATCTGCATCTTGGTTGCCGTGTTGTGCCGACAATCAGCTGAGCTGGCACAACGTGGTGGCCATTTTTATTTTAATGACTTGGGGAATATTTAAATCCCCGCTTCATTGACTGTGTCGGTATGTCTAATTTACATGCTTCTGTCGGCAGAGGCATGTAGTCTAGACATACTCTAAATGAAAAAGACAGCAAAAGGAGAGAGTTTCATTTCTATTTTACAGATGGGGAACTGAGACACAGAGTTTTAACTGAAGTCAGTCTGTGACATAGCTGAGAATTAAACCCAGATCCTCCCCGAGTTCCAATCATAGAAGATTAGGGTCAGAAGAGACTTCAAGAAACCATGTAGTCTAACCCCCTGCTCAAAGCAGGATCAGTCCCAATTAAATCATTCCAGACAGAGATTTGTCAAGCCTGGCTTTAAAAACTTCTGAGGATGGAGTCTAGTGCCTTAACCACAAAATTATCCTTGTCTAATTGAGTAAAAGAAGTTACCCATTGCTACTACTTCAAAATGTATTGTTGCCAAAGTTCCCTCTAAACTGCTTGGCAGTACAGCCCCTGCAGCTGCTTAATCAGTCCTGCCCAATCAGGCAGCTCCATGCGCAGAGCCCTGAGCCCCTGAATAGGTGGGGCTGATTAAGCAGCTAGGGTATGGCTACACTACAGCACTAATTTGAACTAACTTAGTTCGAATTAGTTAATTGGAACTAAGCTAATTCGAATTAGCGCATCTAGACTTAAAAACTAGTTCGAATTAGCGTTTTGCTAATTTGAACTAGCATGTCCACATTGAGTGGACCCTGAACCGGGGTTAAGGATGGCCGGAAGCAGTGCCGGGAGGGCATCAGATTAGGACTTAGAGCGTGGAGCTGCTGTCTCAGGCTAGCCGAGGGCTGTGCTTAAAGGGACCCGACCCCCATCTGGGACAGACAGTTCTCAGGAGTTCCCCGCTTGCAAAGCAGTCCTGGCTTGGAGTGCCCTGAATGCCCACATTCGGCACATCACAGCACTTGGCCATCAGACCGGCTGCACTTGCTGCAGGCTGCCATCCGGGGGGGTCAATCAAGGGGCTTCAGGAGAGCTTCCACCTCGAGGAGCCCGCAGAGCCAGCCCAGTCCTCCCCATTGGGGGCTCATACCCCATTCCTCCCTCACCTCCTTCCACTTACCCCTCCCTAGCCCCCCTTCCTGATGTA